TTTGGAAAAAAGATCAATTCAATCTGTAGCAGTTATGGATAAATCATCTGGAATTATTCTTCCGATATGTATTTTAATTATTGAGTAATAATTAATTCCGGAAAAATGAGTCCATTTTTACAGACTTTTTCGTTTCTTTTCTGTGAGATGATCAATAATCACATGAATACAGCAGAAATAGTGCTAATAAATGTTCTTTGAGAAGACAATTACCCGCTACCTATCACTCATATCAACTGTCTGTCACTACATGAACCAGGAGATCAATGAGATCTGTGACATGACATCTTCACATTTGTTACTATACACTTCGTAAGCAACTATATTGAATTTTTGTAAGTTATCTTTTCTTTATAAAAATGATGATTTTTTTGACCGTTGCATATTACAAGTATGTTGAACATAGATACGATACGTTGGATCTCTAACCATACAGTATTGCAAAGTGAGCGTTCAAAGACAGACAGTATCTGACTATTTTTCAAATGAACATGTGAAAAAAATTTGTGATACGAATGATTCTCACAGAATTGAGTTGTTTGTTTAGAAAAAATAAATTAACAGTTGAAAAGTTGCTATATAACCGGTGATTTGTCAAAAGATCACCATCATTCTTTTTCTCTTAGCTGTTTACTTTTCTTTTATGTCAACTCGTTCCGTCTACAATACAGCAATAATATATACAAATATTCACTGAGGATACAACCACATATGAGTTGGCATACCTATCCATTCAAGAAATGTTAGCTCTTTCAACCCTCAAATTTTGGATAAAATTCTGTAAACGATTTTATACGAAAAGTGACGTCAAATTTTAAATCACCACACTACTTCTATATTACGGGAAAAAAAGTTCTTTCATAGCCGTGGACAAGTGCTTTTCCGTGTTCAGTACATGCAATAATCCAGAAAATTTTCTATTTTTGGTGAGGAGTCAGGAAAATTTTAAAACTATCATTATTTTCCTATGGAAATTATTTTTCGCCATTTAATTCAAATAATTTCATTAAAGTTTTGGCAGTAACCCTCGTCAAAAATAAAAAATCTTCTAGGCTATTGCGTATACTAAATACAAAAAAACATTTTTCCACGACCCTAAACGAATTTAATTTTTTCCTTAACGTTGATACGGTCACTTTACTTTTACAGAAGTTGAGTTTCATTCATCATTTGTTTATACTAAAATCGAACTTCTACTTGATACGTGAGATAGCTCAAAAACGAACAAATTCTAGATTTTATTCTTCAATCTCTTCCGAAAACAAGTTTTAATCTTTTCTTTGGACTGTATCTCTTTCCACCGCCATTTATGCATTAATAATTGATTGTGAGAATATAAAAAAAGAAATTCTTATATTGTTTTTTATAAATATTTCTAGTTCGAAATATATATTTTTTTTCAAGGAATTAAAATTAGAGATCTTTTTTTCTCTCTTATATATAAATATATATATATATTTATTTCATAGCAAATCATCAGAATACTTGATGTTGTATGTTTGTTGAATTAGCGTCTTTCTTTGCAATTACTCACTCTCACTTCTCTCTTCTGAATATATACGACGACGAAAGGTAATGAATGAAGAGGGGAGAAAAACAATAAAAACAAAATTTAAAAATGAGACGAAAGAAGAACGGTAAAGTACATTATATTACATTTTTTTTCTGATCAGAAACTCTCAACAAACGTCGGCGTACCTCGTTTCATTTTCATTATTGTTTTTCGTATGTTCTTTTTAGACGAGAGTAAGAGAAGAATAGTTGATGATAATGAGAAAGGAGAAAGAGAGAGTTAGTTCTCTCTTTTTCGTCTTCTGATTAGATGATTATTATTATATTTCACTAACGATCTTTTTTTACATACACACACATTCACTTAATGTGGTCTTTTCTCTTTCTCTTTTTTTCTTCTATCCTAATTCGCTAAACAAAAGAAACTGTCGATGTCTTCATATATATATTTTTTTTATTATTAGTAATATACAGCACAAAGTAATTTGACAGAATTTGCACAATCTGTTGCGATTATTATTATTATTAATCCAACGATGGAAAAGGTTTTCTCGAGTTTATACTAGAATAGAGAACACCATAGATGGTTAATTCAAGTAGGTATAAACGTTCGTTTTGAGGTATAATAGTCAGAAAATTATGAAATAATCGTGTAATATATAGAGTAGAAATTTTAATCTAAGTTTTACTTAATCTAAAAGGTTTTACTTAACCTAAAAGTTTATGAGTTCAACTCTTTATTTATATAGAATTTATTTTATTTTTTTGAAAGTTTAAGTTTCAAAATACTTTGATGAATTTATTCTCATCCTTTGTCTTGGAAAAATAAAATCTAGGTCAGAGAGGGCTTATCGTCTAGGTGATTGTGAGGAAAGCAAAGATCGATAAAGTAGATCGAGTTTGTTTTTCAATTCTATATTAAGTCCAGACAGTTAAGACATGTTGATTGAACAAGTTGGTTTTGTTAGAATTTGTAGAGTTTTTTATGAATTGACGTTTGACTTTATGTTTGCTACAAAAATAGTTTTATAAACGCATTAAAGGCTACGGTAAGGATTACACACCCAACAGATGGTTAAAACTAGAGTGGAGATTCTTTTATATGATCGGCATACTCCAATTTTATGGAAATCTTCCGCTTGTATAAAATGTTTTGATAGATAAAACTACAGTTTTCTAAAAGCGGTTAATCACATATATGTAGATCTCTCTAGGATTTTGTGAATAAAGTGAATCAGATTATAAATGTCTCTTGATCCTGTACGTACACCTGCGTCACCTAGTCATATTAGTACCCCACCCCAGACTACAGTTGTCAGATAAATTCGTCATTCTAAGAAATAAAATTTTGTGTATATTTTTGATAAACTTCCGAAAATTAGATGATCTAAAACAGGAACAAGTTTATTCTTATATTCATCTGAATTTATACAATTGAAATGATATTTTAAGGGAAGAATTTTAATAACACATAGATGTCGTATATAATCACCATCAGATATGCCATTATGTGTTCCTTCATTACAAATAATATGAAAAAGTTCTAGATTTTAATTGGTTCATCATTTATTCCTGCGTTTACGCATCAACTATAATAACATGACATTTTAGAGCGTCATTGTGACTTATCTTGTTCCACTCTGTGAATATAATAGCGTAGTTGGTTAGATTTCTATTATGAGCAAATAGGTCGATATCTGTATTGTACTTTGTTAGAAAACGATGGTATTGAAAGAGTTCAGGTTAATCTGTAGTTATCTATAAATCGTTATCCTTTCTCTGATTTCTAATGCCTGATTACTTCTGATATCTTTTAGAATTTGCACGGAAGTATTCACTCGTAAATCAGAAATAACATCTATAAGAGGAAACTATTTCTTATTCACAAAAATGTATTTTATAAACTTGCTTGAATTTTGAATGACAATTTTTCTCTGTAAAACAGTAAAATTATTGCATCTTATCGTGATCAATTGTGACCGTAAGTGTCATGATAACTAGCAAAAGTGCCTAGTCTTTAATTCCTAAAGCATGTATCCCGAGTCCCATTGCACTTACTATAATTAAAGATGATGTAACACGACTAGATTGTATTATAAATATTGAAAAATGAGGAGAGGACTTAAAGGTATGAAAAGGTGATAAAAATTCGTCAGGATAAGCTAACACCACTTCGTTGTAATTCTACAATGAGACTGTCTTCGAACTACTTTACCACACTCTAAATACATTCAAAATGTTTTCATTGAATTCCTAGATTATATCGAGTTTTATATATACAAAAATAAAATAAGCGGAAACTTCAAGGAAAAAAGTGAAAAAGCGCAATTGTACTGTTTGCCACTTAACTCTTGCATCTAACTTAACTCGATCAATGTCCGTTAAATTTGCTAGCGCTAGTTGTTCTTTTTGCCATATTTTCACTATAAAAAGTGTTTGTTAGCAGTCATTAATGATAGAAGCTATTACATACCATTTATTTTGATCCCAAAACTTAAAGAAAAAATGAAAAACATTTCTACGAATGTTCAGTTAATTCTGTTATTTTGTGAATTAGAAAGTGATGTTCGATTACCTTGAAGAAAAAAATGGTTTTCTTGTTGTGAATAAGCGAAATGATACCATCCAAGTGCGTCCTCTACCTGATGATTAAGAGAATAATTAATTCAACATTAAATAAAAAAAGAATTTTTTCATTTTTGAATGCTTCTTTCTAGTCTTTTGAAACTGTTGAGAAGTTATGTACAAAATGGATCAAATTTGTTTAATAACTTATATGGAAATTAAAATGTTATCAAATGAAAGTGTCACGAGTTTTTATCTCGATCAGTTTTGAGGTCAAAATAAGTTAGAATAATAATTTATCACTAGTAGACTGATTAGTAGAGAAATTCTAATGCTTCCAGTTAAACGTTAAGAAAAAGGTCAGCATTTCTACGATCTAAAATATGTTAAGTTTTCAACTTTTTATTCTTAATACGTAAACTCTTTCATCATGCCAATAGTATTTTTGTTGTTCTTATCATTTGTCTTCTATTAATTTCCATTTTCTCTCCGTCTTTCTTTTTAGTAACGTGTATATACATGTGTGTATGGTGTTTTGTAGTCATTCATTACTTTATTTATCTTTTTGAAAACAGTTCTTTGTTGTGCAATAAATATAGAGAAGAAAAAAAGAAGAAGAATTAGAAAATGTAGTGCGCGTTTTGCCTTATAGTCTCAGTTTAATCATAATCAAACGTGTCCTTGTAGGGACTTGTACAGTAGTTAGTTATAAATGATTTGTTTATGAAAAAAGAGCGAGAGCGAGAGAGAAGGAGAGAGACAGAGAGAGAAAGAATAGAAGAATAAAGAGAAAAAAAAGTTAACGGGGTGATTATTTTTATTAGTTCTTTAACACCCGTCCGTCGAATGTTTTAGTGAAACTAGTGCTTTGATTTTCATTTTCATTCAATTTTTTTTGTTGTTTGAAATGAAGTACTAAACAGATGGAAAGAACATCGAGAAGTAAGTTAGAAGTTAGAACTGTTTTATCTAGTTGGAAATTAAATAGAATAGTTTAGTTAAAGAATTTTTTGTAAATGATCAAATTATTATTTGTTAAATTGAAAAAAGTAGATTCTATCGTCAGTTTCATGATGGTTTTTTTCTTCTTCTTCGAGTAAGAAAATAGCAAACATGTAGTTAAAGTATTGTGATGACTGTCAATGATCATGATTAATACATCTGATCTGAAAATTTCGTTGAAGTTAATTTATAAATTAAGCTTAGTGAGATATAAATTCTCAGTTTTTTGCAAAAGACTTGTTAGTTTGTTGTGTGTGTGTGTGTGTGCATATTGATTTGTGCATCAAAGTATTTAACTCTTCTAATTTATTTTTTCGTTTCATTTTTAATCTTTTCCCTTTTCTTCCTTTGCTTAACCTAGAAAGCTCATATTTCCGATATTTTTCATTTGCCTGTTCTTTTTATTATTTATTCTATTACTTTCGTTTTTCAACTTATAAAAGATTTTTTCTTCCTAATTCTTATGCATATAATTTACATTATAATTTGTAAATCATGTTTTATTTTACCATATTGTGTAACTACGTGATAATATGTAGCGTGTATAGGTAACGAAAATAGCGTACCTAGTAGTGGTAATTTGACGAGAAAAAAAAATATATAGAACAAAAAAATTACTTTAAAGCAGATGCTAAAATAAACGTATATTTAAATACTTTATTTTATTTTAAACTGCTATCTCTTTCTTCCTATAAGTATGTATATGTATGATTTAGTGTAACTATGATTTTTAGACGAATAATAATCATAATGTGGTTTTTTTTTTTCTTCTTTATTTTGAATTTGAGAATAGTGTACAATGTCAAAAGTTCGATAACTTCTGGAGCCAAAGTGGAAAAAATGTTAAATACACTTGTTGCATTCAAGGTTAAAAAAAAACGTAGAGTGAAAATTGCCTAATCAATGTGATAAACTGCTATGTGTGTATATATATAGATATATATATATATATATGCTAAATTTACCGTTGGCTAATCAAATATGATACGCGTTGAGAATAGACTATTTGATGATAAGCCATATAATACGCATTCATTATGCGTATAATTCAATGATCGATAAATAGTTATCTCTTTTGTGTTTCATTTTACCTGTATCATTCAACTAAATATATTAAAGACGATAATTATTTAAAAATAAACATCATGATCCTCTTGTTCTTATTATATTTAATCATTATAGCAATAAAAAAGAAAAAAAAAAGGTAAAGAGAAAACCCAATATGCACCTGTAGATAGATCGAATAAGAATAAGAATGATAATGATAGACAATCAACTTTCTTTCATTTTTTTTTTTTTTTTTTTTTAAATATTTTTTTATTATAATCGAGCTTCACGAATAATAATAATAATAATAATAATAATCATAATAATAATGATGATGGAAAATAATTTATTTTTTCGATGATATATCGTCTCGTTCTTATCCTTTGTGTTTCATTATTTGCAAGAAAAAGAGAAAAAAAAATTTGTGTTGTGTATTACTTCATTAGAGAAAATCATAAAAGCAACAATGATAGTGAGAAGGACACATGGTATAATGGTGGAAAAAAAAAAAAAAAAAAAAAAACAACCAAATTTTTTAATCATAAAAAATAAAAGAGAAATGCAGCTGTGCACTTTATACGACAATCATTGAATAAGAAAGAGAAAAAAGAAAAGAAGAAAAAAAAGAAAAACGAGTCAATTGCTCGTTTTGCAATAGTTTATAAAACTTAAATTTTTGATTTTTGTTACTTTTTATACTAGTAAGTAAAGTATATATGTCACGATCTTAGTGTTAAAGAAAAAATTTCTTCATATTTTCTTCCTTTTCATAAACGATTATTGATCTTATACTAGTTGTTGTTATATTAAAATTTATTCTTGATATTTTTCTCGTTTAACTAGCCAATTAGTTAAAATTAACATCAAATATAAAATATTATTTACTTTAAGCAAATAAACTATCTGTCAGTAGAAGAAAAAAAATCTTATGAAAACGTATATTCTTTATCTTTTGTAACAAATTATATTTCTTTTTTTTTCTTTCTAAATATTAAAAAGAAAAAAACAAAAAAAAAAGAGAGAAAAATTTTTAATTATCAATTGAATTGTTTTATTTGAATTAAGTTATATGTTCTACATAGTAGTGTTTTTTTTATTATATGACACATTGATTGGTCTCAGCTTGCAATAATTTTTCTTAAATATATGTAAAATATAACAATAAATCAAATCAAAAAAAATAAAGAGAGAAAAAGGCTGGTATTTATTCGATGCCCGTATTGTATTAAGTATTAAATTAACCTTTTTTTTTATTTTTATTTTAAATAGTAAATCATACGTGTTTTTCAATCGTTTTTTCTTCTGTTCTTTTTCATTTCCGTTCTTTTATTTTCGATAAAATCATTTATATCGGTTTAATAGTATAATAGTGTATATCTTCATAAACATGTGATTAAAGGAGAGAAAACAAATAGAAGAATTTTGTATGACCAATTGTACGTATACTGTGACTACATTATTAAATTTTATTAACTTTAATCAATGGTCTATTCAATACTAAAACTTTTATATCTTGAGAAAATGATGAATTTTTCCAGTCTTCAATCAAAATTAAAATATTTTTTGTTAGATTTTAAATATTGAAACATTTTTACTAGTGAAGATATTTTCATAAATCAGGATGTTCAATGTAATTTCTCGTTAATTGGAGTAGTAGATGATTTAAAGAAAAACCGGACGACAATGTTTATTCACGAAATTAATACAAGAGAAGAAGAAAATAAAAATAACAGAATCCACATCATATTTTTCTTTTTTCCTGATTTTGTCTCATTGAAAAATCCTAATATTTCTTTTTTTTGTTCCTTGTGCACCATATTTTGCACTCACTCATCTGACGCATAGCGAATTTGATTTCGAATTTTTTTCTCATCTTTTTTTTTTTTTTTGTTAGACTATAGGGTTATTTTTGTGTAGCGCAAGAATAGCATCAAAAATAAAAAATGTATTTAAACTCGTTAATTCTTAATTGTCTAGAAACAGGAGGAAGATCGGTGTGTACGCTTATACTAACAGTCGAAATAAAGAATAAACGAATTATTTTTTGCTAATAGTTTTACAAGGTTTTGTTTCGAAGAAAGATCATTTTTAAATAGTAAGTCAAAACGAAAATGAATAAAATACTTTCTTAATTAGTTCAAAAATCTACTACTTCGAATTAGTATAAAAAACACAACCGACTCATATAAGACTTGTAAAAATATCATTGAAAAATTAGATTTTTCTAAAAAATGAAGGAGACAGTCTTAATATTTTAATTTAATTTTGTTTTTTTTTTCTCTTTTCATTTTAGTGTCGGATTCATGTCAGCTAAAATGTTTACCCGATGATTTCGTCAACAGTGATTTTACTATTAATTCAAATATCAATAGTTTAGATTATCGTTGCCATTATTGTGGTAAAAATTTCAAAGATATTGAACAGTTGTGTGAACATTTTAAAGAGTCAAGTATGTCATTTAAATTTGTTTAAAGATTTTATAAAATTTCTTCAACTATTTCTCATTTTGTCAGCCAAAATGGAGAAGATGTTTTATGTTCTAAGTATCATCATGTTTCTTTTTATACAAAAAAATGTGATAAAAAATTCTTTGTAGTTATTCTTTGATAAGACGAAGATACAACTAGAATATCTGAAAATGTGAATAAATAAAATACTCCTAATTCAATTTGAAATAATTCTTGAAACTATAGTTTAAATATTTTTCTTTAAAATAAATCTTTTTTACTATGTTTAGATCACTTAGATTTTGTTGATTCAAGTTCTATGTTATGTTGGAAAAAAGGTTGTAATCAATATTTTTCATCGTTACCCGTATTAAATATTCATTTTCGTGAAATTCATTCAACATCACTTAAAAATAAATCATTATTAGATGATTTATTTTCTACAACACGTGTATCACCATTATCTTCCATTTCATCATCATCTCTAACAAGTCCACCTTTAACACAAGCGATTATTCCTCTACTTGAACATCAACAACAACCACCACTTGAAAACGAAATTTTAAAATTAAAAGAAAATTCACCACAAATTCTACCATATTATATATCAACAACATCTAATTTGCCAAATGATACAAAACAGATACAAGAAAATCAAGTAAAAATAAAAGTCGTTATGATTAAATGACTGTTTTTTTATTTTATTTTGTTTTTTCATCTATTTTTAGTCAATTCAATCAAAACAGCAGCAGCAGCAGCAGCACACATCTGATACCACATTAACACCATCAACATCTATTCTTGATGAAAATAAATATTCATCGACGTGCATAAAATGTTCAAAACGTTTTTCTTGTAAATCTGATTTTGATATGCATATTAAATTATGTGATGAACAATCATCCGTTGTAAAATCTCGTAAATTAAAAACATCATCAAAACATCCAAAATCACATCAATCTGAACAACAAAATACACTCTTAGCAACTGGAGATAGTTTTATTTCTCGAAGTACTAATAAATGTGATTTATGTGATATCGAACTATCGTCGTCTACAGATTTAATAACACATACACAATCATCATTACATCAAGCAAAATTACGTGATTATTTTACATCGACTCTTCTATCATCGATAACAGCTCAAACAAACGCATACTGTTTACCTGAATTTGCTCAACAATGGTTGAAATATTTTACAGATACAAATGGTGGAAGTTCTAGTACAAATGATTCAGCATATGATCCATTAAAATTATGGCCATCTTCTAATTTAATTTCATTTGATACACATTCAGATACAAACACAACATCAATTCCATTATTAGATTTATCAACCAAAAAACAAGTTCAACAGAATAAAACAACTATTTTAACTCCACAATCGACGCCATCTATTGGTTCTACATTCAGTATTTTGACAGCGCATCCAACCACAACGACATCAACAACATCATTAGCATTGACTAGTAAGTAGTTAATCTCGGACATTGATCATCTTTACTTATCTCGAAAACTTGAACAAATAACTGATTTATGTTAGAGATACTTCTCATTAGACAAAACAGGAATGCCCTGTGTTGTTTTGAAAGATTTTTTCCGAACGAATATTGTTGTGTAAAGAAAAATAAATGTGTAAAATGGAAACTTCATTGTCTTTTTCTCCTACCGTTTTTTATACTTTTTTTACTAAATTTTAGCTATTTTGATCTCGAGATCTGTCGTTGGTTACTATTGTAGCCGTTTCTAATACAAGTTTCTTTGCAATATTCTAGTCGAGCTGTTTTTCAAGGTATACAAATCTACAATCAGATGTTGCATTGAATATAGTTATTATTTCTCCTGTGAGAGCAGTGAAGTGTGTATGTAAACGGACTTGCGGAAAACAGTTAATGACTATGAGAAAATAGCCGAATGTATATTTTTTGGTCGCCTTATAGTATTGTACAAGTATGATTGCTATATAGTTCACGTTAAGAATGATTATTTGATGTTGATTTTCTATAAATTTGTCTCACATAACATACTAACAATACATTTTGTTATTTTATTATTTTAGACAATTACAACAATCGTGATAATTTACCACTTACTCCTTCAACTCCATCATCGCCAATTCCATCTTTATCTGCTTCCACTTCATCTTTGACAAAATCACTTTCAACTACCAGCAACATAAAATCAAAACAAGCCGCTATTTCGATTGGTACAGATATTGTTCAACATTATATTGAAAATAATTTAGCTGAAAAAAGGCTAAAACGTGAACAACTGAAAGAAAAACAATCGCAATCACAATCACAAATGCCCGCTGTAACAAAATCACAATCATTTGAAGGGCTAGCTTCATTTTTGAAGCCTCAACCAGTTGTCGATGAACAACAGCCAATTAAAAATATTCTTGAAACAACAAATACAATAAATAGCGTTCCAACAACGGCAGATATCCAAAATATTATTGATAATACAGACAACTATTCGCGTATGTAAAAAGTTTCATTTTTTTTGTTTTTTCATGCAGTATTGGCTGCTATGAGCAATGAAAATTACTCTAACTAAGTTTTTTCCATGGAAGAATACTCGTACAATGAGATTGAGTTGATTTTATATCCTTACTTTTTCTCTATTTCAGCTCATCATCAACTGTCAACATGTGATTTGTGTTCAAAAACCTTCTCCACATTAACTATATTGAAAGTACACTACGAACAATGTCATCACATTCAACTAAGTTCCAAAGCTATTGAACATTGGTTATTTTTATTACAAAAATTACATGATACAACAGGTCAACAGACAACTAATACAACTCAGTCAACATCACCTATTACGCCAATGGAAGCAAGTAGTGAATCGTATACTCTCACTCCTACATCGCCGACACCAATCAATATTATTGAACAAACATCAAAATCAACTTTAAAACGAGAATTATCTCAGACAGCCATTCTTAGTTCAGCAACCACAAATAATCAAAATAACAGTGATGAACAGCAAGAAAGGAAGAAGTTACGAGGAATGGGAGATGAAAATCCCCAGCATCTATTTGACAGACAAATGGCTGTGGCAGCTCAGGCAGCTATCAATAATATTTATCCACCTTTATTTGCACCACAAACATCACAGGTAAAAAACAAAAAAAGTCTTATTAGGCTTACCGAGAGCCTTGATTATGGCAAACTGTTTTTAAAATGACACTATTTTTCAAATTTAAGCGAGATCCATCATCAGCAAACTCAGCTACCACCGGAAACTCTACTCCATTAACTCCATCCTCTTACACTCAACAGTCTTCGACAACGTGTACGACAACTAAACGTATTCGTACTCGTATAACCGATGATCAACTGAAAATACTTCGCCAACATTTTAACATAAATAATTCTCCATCGGACGAACAAGTGATGTTAATGTCATCAAAAACCGGTTTAACAGCTAAAGTCATCAAACATTGGTTTCGTAACACACTGTTCAAAGAGCGACAACGAAATAAAGATTCACCATATAATTTCAATAATCCACCAGCGCAAACGAAAATCGATTTAGAAGAATATCATAAAACAGGAACGATTGTGAAGAAAGATCATGATCTACAAGAACAGGAGATGTCACAACCGCATGACGAACAGACGGTTAGTAAATTATTTTTTTCCTTTTATTCGATCGAGCTATTCGTCTTTATTTCTACAAATATTTTTTGTTTTTCATTTTTAGCATTCAGAAGCTAGTGATGATGATTTATCATCGATAAATGACGATGAAGATGATGACTCGTTAACATACGATAACACTTCACTTCTCTTGCCAACAGTTGAAAGTGATAATGATGAACAAGTCCAGTCATCATCCATCAATTTGACATCACCAACAGTGAAAAACTCTCAACATCAACAACAAGCTGTTTTGTCTGCAGCCGCGGCTGCTGCTGCAGCAGCTGCTCAAAAACGCGTAAGTTTTACATTTAATACACGATCGTAAGTTCTGTCAATAATAGGCCAACAATTACTATATTTTTACTGTAAATTTGAGAAAGGAAAAGTACGCAAAACGATCATGGACTTCTCTTTTGTTCAAATTTTGTAGTGATTAAGTATCGATGGTGTTAAAAACATAATGTATGTAATTTGTTAATATTTAGGCCAACCGTACACGTTTTACAGACTCCCAGTTAAAGTCGTTACAAGAATCATTCGAACAAAATCCATATCCAAAAGATGATGATCTCGAAGTATTGTCCAAAAATTTGAGCTTAAATTCAAGGTAATTGATGAAACTATACAATCAAAAATGTAGAATTTCTCCTTGTGAGAGTCAGTCGATTCTGTACATATTTTAACCAGGAGATTTTGCACCATATTTTTACTTTTGGCGCTTTGTTTTGAAAAATCTGGTAAAATTAGCCTCAGATCTTGTTTCCTTTGTTATTTATTCACGTAAGTTTTTCTTAGATGATCCTCATTCTCTTTTACTCTTACCGTTACGAGTAGACGAGTTTTAGATATCTAAATAAGAAAATATTTCTGTTTTTTTTAACTGCTCTCATTTTTTTTCTTGAAAAGATTACAGCTGTAAGAGATCAGCGTTGAATTTCGATAATGCAAGTTACTGATTATTGTTTTATTTCTGTTTTAGAGTTATTGTTGTTTGGTTTCAAAATGCAAGACAAAAAGCGCGAAAATCATATGAAAACCAATTCAATAGTTCTTCTGGTTCTAGTACAATTTCAACAAGTGAGCAAAATCCAGCAGTTAAATTAGAGCGTGATGAAGGTTACACATGTAAATACTGTCAAAAATTATTTCAACGTTTTGCTGAACTAATGAAGCATATGAAACAATGTAATAATACCACACATTCATCATCATTATCTAGTAAGAATGTGACAATGATAGATACAATTAATAATCATAATAATAACAGTGAAGACACACTAAAAGTGAATAAACAAATGTCTCAAACTACAATTGTTCCAAAACCAATTAAACCAAAAGAAAAACATTCAAACAGGTAAGAACTCAGCGGATTTTGCGTCTGAGGCAGCAATTCAGCTAAGAAAAAAAGATGTTTTGAGAATACAAATGCAAATTTTTTTATAAGTTCTCTCTATGTCACAGGTGCCTTTTTCGGTTGGTTTTTGATTCGTCACATTCTTGTCTGTTTTCTAGTGAACTAAAATCGTCATCTTCCACATCTATTTCAACGCCCATAACTTCACCAAAAATGTCTTCCTTATTATCTCAACCAGTTCAAACTCAACTCGATATGTCTAGCCATTCATCTTCCGGTCGTCATTCATCTTCGAATGTTAAACGTGAATCCACATTTCTATTTGACACCGATAAGCCGTCCTCACGTTCGAAACAACCAGTATTAAACTCTTCTCGTTCTACAGCAACCACCAGTGCATCAACTGTAATCAAATCTGAGCCATCAGAATCATCATCACAATCGCAACAGTTTTTGAAGACCAGCCTAGATCATCAACAATTTCAAGATCCAATGGCTGCATCATACAGCATGTTCATGGCTGCGGCAGCAGCCGCCGCCGCTGTCCAAGCTCAACAACAAAACGGTAAGTTTTAGCTCTGAGTTGAGCACAAAGGAAGATTTTGGATTCTGATTAATAAATATATTATTCCCAGAACTTGTCCTTCTTAAGGGGATGCATAGATTCTAAGTGGAACCACTGATGTTTCATTCATGAGCAATCACTTTCGAGATGCATAGAAGTATATTACTCCACGACAACGCAGATTTTTTCCAACCTTTGAGTACACGAATGAACGAAACAGACAGATCTATGTATCACAGTGGAAGAGACAGAGCGCTGCCCAGAAAAGTTTCTTTTCTAATGAAAGATTATACTACGTTGGTGTTTTTTCGTTGTCGAACTAAGATTCATTTGTTTTATTAAAGTGAATCTTTCTATTTCGCAACAAAAATCCGCCTCTTCAACTCCAGAACTAAAATCGTCTTTGATACTTTTACGACAAAAAGCGCTATTACTGCGTTCAAAAGAGATCACGAAAGCCCATGTATGTCATTCAATATCGTTAGAGAAGGTTTCAAAAGACAAATTTTGGCGATTTTTATCATATTTTTTCTTTTCTGTTTCCAGTCTAATTAAAACTTTTCTAATACGAACAGAATCATAATATATTCATTCTTATTGGAGGCTGTTAGTTTGTTTCTTAAATAGTAGTATTTCTTCAAAGTCAACTATTCTCATAGGCACAGCATCCTATAATCCATTTATGCCTCAATCAATGTCAACTACACCATCGTCATCCGATAAAGAAAACTATTGTGATCAATGTGATAAAAAATTTTCGTCAGTAAACGAATTTCAAGAACATCAAGCATTTCATATGGCCATGTTAAATGCAGCTGCTTTCTTTCCTCTCTATCATCCAGCGGCTGCTGCTGCAGCGGCGGCAGCTGCAATGTCATTTGGAAATTTTGGCGGTAATTTTCAAGGTTTACCACCTCCTACAAATCTATTTTTACCAACGACAACATCCTCATCGGCATCTAGTACACCAACGACCAATGTTATTACAACACCCACAACACCAATGCTTAACTTTACAGAAAAAGCATCAAAATCGAATGTGGTATGTTTTTCAAACACTTTACACCGATGATACAGACATATTCTTACCGCATTGTCTCTATACACTCTTTCTTTCTTGATTTTTTATAGCGTGATTGTGATCAATTGATATCACCACCACAATCCTCTACATTAAAACGACGTTTACCGCCATCCATAACGACGACTTCACTTCCCACTATAATAAATTCTACTACGAGTCATCGATCGTCCATGAGCGGTTGTGATGACGATAGTGACAATGATGGTCAAGATTCTCGAGATTCATCATTAAATCTGAGTAGCGCCACTATAAACGGTAATTCAAAACGTAATCGTACAACTATATTACCTGAACAACAAGATTATTTGATGCAAAAATATCAGTTAGAATCAAATCCAAGTCGAAAAATGTTAGAAGAAATATCGTCCGGTGTTGGTTTGAAAAAGAGAGTTGTTCAAGTCTGGTTTCAAAATACAAGAGCAAGAGAGCGAAAAGGAACTATCAAGACATCTATATCATCGACTTCTAACTCGCAACAATCACAGATAATTAATAAAAGATGTCTCTATTGTTCATGTGTATTTAAATTACGTTCTACGTTAGAAAATCATTTAATATTGAAACATCAAGATCAGCTAGGTAAGAAAAGAGAGATGTTTAGCATAGATGAGAAACCAAAATGTATCATCATTTGACGACGGTTAAGAGAAAATCATTAATCGTTTTTATTAACAGAAAACGACTAGAGCTTAAATATTGTTCAACTAAACATTATAATTAGTAGTATAATATTTACAGAAAAACGAGGTAGAAAAAATATATGCGTATTTTACATGTATTTTTTCAATATTAATTTCATGTTTTTTATTTAGGTATTGAGCAACAACATCGTGATCAAATAAAATTTATTGATATCGATACATTTCCCGATGCAACATCAACGTCGACTCCAACACCAACTACACCTAATCCCACAGTGGCAACAGTAGTTACAGGTGGTACATTTGTACCACCACCAATGAATGAACAAGAAGAACTTGAGGATCAAGAGTTTGATGAAGATCTAGAAGAGAATGATACAATATTGAGAGATGACAATAATGTTGAAGATGTGCCACTAGATTTGACCAAACCGCTAGATTTAGTTAAACACCCAAAAACTGTACCAAAACCGCGCATGAACGATAAACAACAGCAACATCGAAATGATCTAAATATGTATGTATTGAGAAGTCTTTTATTAGTGGTGTTCAAATTTTCTTGTTTTTGTTTCGGAAATTTGACAACTGTTTTTTTTTCTCTTTAAGATCTTCATATACGAATAATGTTAATCATGCTGCTAATGATGATTTGACAAATAATTCTTTAGACTATTCTGATAATGAATGTGGCATTCATAGTGATTATGATACAGATACAGAATTTGGTTCAAATCAATTTCAATTAAATACTAGTCATCCTACACAATCATTATTAAATAATAATAAAACATTATCCAGTTCGAATTATCAATCATGGATGCAAAGACAATCATCTTCACAATCAAATCTTTTACTATCACCTCATAATAATAATGGTGGTCTACATTCACCAACCGATTCAACTCATAATGGAAACGGATCAAATAAAGATTCAAATGGTCAACGACGATTTCGAACGCAGATGACACCATTGCAAATTAAATTAATGAAAGCCATTTTTCTGGAATATAGAACACCAACAATGTAAGTATTACTTAACAACTCGTCTTAGAAATTTTAGTAAGCAATAATCTATAACACTAAAAAAATCAATATGATAATTTTTAATTGTTTAACTCGAATTCTTTATTATACATTGTTTAGGCCCGAATGCGAATTATTGGGTCGTCAAATTAATTTACAAAAACGCGTTGTGCAAGTATGGTTTCAAAATGCAAGAGCAAAAGAAAAGAAAAATCCCAATTTTTTTAAAACAGATCTTGATTTGACGTATGAACGATCGCAAGATGAATGTCATCTATGTTCAACGAAATATACAGTAGCTCATGGACAAAGAGTAAGTTTATCAACTTGTATAACCTTCAAACATGTTATTTATTCTTGTTGTTGGGTTTAGGATCACTTGTTTACATCCATGCATATTGAAACTGTTCGGTCATTACTATGTAAACAAGCTCAAAACTCTAGTTCTAGTTCTACATCTCACTCCCATCAGTCATCACAACAGTTACTTTCATTTTCAATGTCATCATCATCATCTTCGACGTCATCCACGACCAATAACAATAATAATCATCATTCCGAATCGCCTCCCGATGATTCAACTCCTAATCCCACATCATTGTTATCAAACGGTTTATCATCAAATAAATCTCGTTCGTCATCGGTATTAAATTTAGAGAATAATAATTCTGCATCGGATACTAATCACCATGATGATCATCGTAATAGTGGTCATTCTCGTTCTTTAATATCAGATATAAAGTCAAAAGAAAAGAAAAAATCAACATCGAACAGTACTAAGTCTTCAACAAAAATAGATACTGCAAAGCAGCCAGAACAACAAACAGTACCAGCAGTCATGGATCAGCAACAACAACAGTTGATGGCTGCAGCGGCGGCAGGTCTAATGGGAACTCCAGATCCATCAGTATTATCCTATTTCAATTTAATGATGCCACATCTAATGCCAATGAGTATGTTTAAAAAGTAACGATACCACTAAGTTTGTTTTACATATTTAATATGTTGTTGTAGGTCTTGATCCTTATAACTTTTCATTAGTCGATCCAACAATTCATGGTACACACATATTTATGTTGCAGTTACCACCGGATGCCATTCAAAGTATTATGCACGCAATAAAAGAGAATCGGTCCACTTCGCAATACACACAAGATGGGAAAACAAGGAATGATTTGATAAAACTTGGCTTCAAAACAATTGACCATGAAACTATTGATGTTGGATTTGCTTGCAAACATTGTAATTTTGTATGTAAGTATCGTGAATCTATTTGCTTGTTTGAATACTTAGTATGTAAGAAAGCATCCAACTGTTGCAATTAGGTTTGCTATCAATCAAAGTGTAATTGTAACTAAATTCATAAAGTGGATTTTCTTTTTCGTGTATTTTCGTTTATTCATTTTGAACTTGAGAGACAAAGCTGCGGTTAATCAACCACCAATCGTTCAAACGAAACTGACCAAAAGTTGAATGTGTTTTATCTGTTTACTTTAGGGCCTTTATATGAACCATGTCGTTGTCACACACTATTATGTTTTCAACTGGCGCCTACTCAATTACCCCTTACGTTACAAACAAAACAAGATACACAAAAAATGTCTCGGTATATTCTAAAAATTGAACAGTTACTCTATCGTTGTACAGTTTGTAATTCGTCATACTCGACCGTTATCGAATTTCAACAACATACAAAAGAGGATACTCACCTTAAGAATATGCAAAATTCACACAACAATAATAATAAACGTCGCACATCGTCGACATCGTCAACTTATTCAGAGAATGATTCGAATAAACATCAACAGAAAAAATTTAACCAAGTGAAAAAATCAGCTACCCAAAATCATCAGCAACAACAACAACCGATGGCAGTTACGCCAACACCTTAATGAGATCATTGACATATTTACAATCAGACAATACTGAATAATGTACACTAATTTCCTCATCCGAACTATTTTTTCTACGAGTGAAAGTTTAGCTGGTGATTTTTGAGTGGTGAAAATTTCCTGCTAAAATTATTCGGGTGTAACGCTTATAGTCCAAATGCATTTGTATTTCAACTATATGGTAGTCACACACGGAAATATAGCGATAAAAAAGATATTTTGCTTTTTATCTCTTCCGCGTACACTTTCTCTCTCATTTTCTCGCTGTATAAACAAACACCATCATTTGTTGCTCATGTGTGTTTTTTTGTGCAAAGCATCATGTATTTTTTTTGTGCTAATGAACTTTTTTTGTATTTTTAGAAACTCTTTATCCAGTGTCTCTATCGCTAATTGCATTCCTATTGTGATGAATTGATGATCCCTTTTTCGTGTAATTTTTCTCTACTTGAGCTGAAAGCTTATTCTTGTTTTTGTTTTTTTTATACTAAATCTTGTGTGTTTGTTTTTCTTTTGACTTCCCTTTCTATATGCATATACGCTATACATGTACTTCTTACTGGCTAATGCTCTTTTTCTGTATGTTTTTTTGTTTTTTTTCTTTTCTAAAAAACCAAGATACTTTACTATTTGTATTGCACGTCTACGTTTGTTTGATTCGTTTTTATTCTCTTGTTCTCGAACAGGCAGACACACATACACATAGTTTCGTTTAGTTTTTTCATTTATTTTTTGTTTTGTTTTTTTGCGTATTTCAAGATGATGAAATGACACTACTTACCACAACACTATGTCCGTAGAATAAAAAGATAAATAATATGAAAATCTAGATGCAAAACAAAGAGATCTTGTTTATTCTAGCTGCAATTAATTCACAGTGAGAAAATGATCTTTAAAAGAGTTTTTCAGTATATGAGACTCACTATATGATGGCCATAGCGTTCAAATTATTCTTGTAATTGAATCAAATGTTCATCTCTTATTCAGGTAATAAATGCACCAGAAATGCATTCTTAGTTTTTCAAGCTCCGATGTATATTTCATGAGCGGTCTGGTCTACTCATTTTCAATAAATTTTCAAAACCGAACACTTTTGAAACTTTAGACAAATCTACACGTGGCACAAGTACTTATCTTTTAACAAAGATTACTATGATGATGGCTTGCCACTAATGGTACATAATAAGAATCAAAAAAATATGTTGTATGTGAGATTCGCACACTCGACTTTTCTATCACATGCACATAACGTTCCTACGAAGTCTTCTAAAAACTTCTTAGAGATTCCCGTAACGAGACTTCTGGGAGAGTTTTAACTGTGAGTCCTATGAGACTTCTTCGAGGATGTTCGACTTGGGATAAATAGAAGAGAGTCATCACTACATTTTATACTGTCAAAATACCCTGGAAGATTTTAAAGCAACAAATGTCCCGCGAGATTTTTCGTAGAATATCCAAGTCAGATCGATAATAAAACCACATCTACTATGTATCTATCGGTTCTTCGTCGGAGACGCTGTCGTGGCGTCTTAGAGATAAACTTTTATAGATCGAGTTCAAAATTAGAACAAGGTCTGGACTCGCGTTTTTTTTCCGAAATCTTCAAGTTTTGTAAACTCTAAAAGGTCGAGACCGTTTCCTTTATACTGAAGCAAGCTCGATTTCTTGTTTCGAAGTTCTAGATTAAGAATGGGATCTCGTTATAAGGAGAAACCCGGGCGATATGATAAAAAATGTCATCGAAAAATACAACTGAAACATTTGAAGTCGAAATGCTTTGATAAAGAATCCAAACAAATTACGCGCAACACAAAGCAAATTATCGGAAGAAGAAGAAAGAAGATTCATTGAGAGTGCATTAAGCATTATTTCTGCATTCTTTCTTTTTTGAAATAAACGAGAAGTTGTTGACTTGACAGAAAGATTTCAGGCTTTAAACACTAAGTTTTTCATCGGTAGAAGACGGAGAAGCGATAGATGCATAGTACATGTGATTTTATTGTCGAAAAAATAAAATAAAAACCTCGCGGGATATTTTTACTGTACTCTGCAATTTTTTCCCAAAATATGTGTCTTCATAAGCTGATTTTTTTACGACAGATAGTATGTACCGAGTGGAGAAAAGGGCCAATATTTCGTTTGAAACGATTAGGTTTGACAGAACTACAGGTAAAACAAAACTGGAAATTTCGCGGGACATTTAGTGTGAAAATCATTGTTTTGGATTTGTTTTTTGTATTTCCATCCGAGGTACAATTCCAAAAAATTTTCGCTTATGTCAGATAGTAGTTCGTTCGTTCTTCTATCATTTAAGACCATCCTTAACTTTTCCGTATCGTAAGTACATTCACTAGAGACTTGGTCTTTTGAAACTAATCTAGAACTCATATTTTGACTTTCTTGTGTTTTATATACACTTTCACTCGATGTTACTCTCTCAACATATTTGCCTGAATGTTTTTGAAGTTTTCACTCTATGTCAATGTCTTGCAGTAGTTGATGATTGCAGTCATCTTCAATTATTGTTTTTTTTGTGGTCTGTTTACTATCTGTTTCTAACATCCTTGTTGAACATAGTCTGATTTAAAATCTACTTTACCAGAGATGTCTGTCAATGTGTATGATTTAATCAAGGTTTGTTAAGTTTATGCACAATGTTATGAATAATGAGTCAGAGTTAATTTAATATTTACTATCTTATCTACAAGTTTAAATATGATACATGATTTCGCAGAAAGCAAAAAGTAGAAAAAAAATTAAAAAAACACATTGCTATGGATTTTGTTTGTTCTTTTAAGTTGTTTGTACACGAGTAGCCGCGCGTCTTCCAATTTGTGCTTGAAAACCTGTTTTAATTACAGAGACAAAATATCTTGAACAACACTTTGTACACAGTAACAAAGGTAAACGTTCTTCTTTCTGCAAGAGTGTTTCATATGATCCACACGTTTTGCAAATCACATATTCTCCTACGAAGAAAAAACACATAACATAGTATAATACGATGTGATGTCACATGTAATCAACATTTACTAATATATGAGCGTAATACACGCTCAAATTGAGTTGGTTGAAAACGACCTCTGATTATAAGAGCATGATTAGAATCAATAAAACCGCTAAACGAATACAAGATTATTCATCATATTAGAAAGTTCTTAGAATATTTTAATACTGATCTGGTTCTAAATTCAGTTAATAAATACGGTTGTAAATGTTTTTCTCCTCGTCTCAAACTAAAATGTACACGTTGTTTTGCTAATTTCTTTTCGTAAAGTTCAATTATTTGACTTACATTTTACACGTATCACCAAAATTAGAAAATGATGTTCGTTTTGTTCCAACACGCGCTATTTGTGGTGGTCTCATTGTAAACGGTTCTCTTTTTGTATCATTAGGATTTTTCTCTTTTATTATATTATACAGTCGTGTTAATAACTAAAAAGAAAATTTCCTAACTAGTTTGGAAAAAGTGAATGGTATAAACATTCTACCTCAACCTAAGCAAAATCTTCAGAAGAATCAATATCTATCACGATTGTTGTTGCGTTATCAACTCCACCTGTCTATAGAAGAAAAAAGGAAGAAAGGTTCAAATAATTACAATTGATTTTGATAAAAATTTTAACATACCGTCTCGTTCTCACCATTTTCGTTTCCACGTCTTCTATGTTTTTCTTGGTTCTTGGAAATAGCAGCGTATCTTCTTCAGTAATGGTTGTTTGATTGTCAATCTAAACGAGATAATAGTAGAGAATAACAACAAATGTAAAAGGTTACTCCTGTTAATAACAAAAACACTTTTTCGATTTACTTTATTGTCAGCCATCTTTTGTACGCGGATGAATATTTACGATTATAAATTGTTTGAGGGATAACTTTATATACGCATACTATAAAGTTTTTCCTTTATTTATATTCTCCAACGTTAAGTGTTTGATGACGTAATATTTTCAGGTTTTTGATGATGCAATATTTTATGCTAATTCCTTTGATTTTAAGGAAAGTGAAAATGTAATCTATGTGTATGTTCATAAAACATACCCAAAAGATCTATTGGATATCTGGCTAATACTTCAAAGACTTCATTTATGCTTCATTCTTTGTTTCGAAACGCTTTTGAATCGTTTTTTCGGACACTGTCACTTTTATTTATTTATTTATTTAACATGGAACCGCTTACACTCATAGCGTCTGGGCACACATAGAAGAAAAAGAAGAAACTTTTCCCTATGGTCGTATCAGCAGTTTTAATCTCACGGAACAAAAAGCTCAAAAGTGTCTGTAAGCTTAAAGATCATCAAAAATTTATCGAGAAAAGTGTGATATTGCAGCAGACCCGCTTCATAATCTGAACGCCCAAGCTACAAACCAGTCGCACTATCAAATTCGAAGTTATTAAGACCGCCGGGGAAAAAAGGATTTTTGGTTGGCAGGCGGCGCCGAAACCGGGGTTTTTAACTTTCCTTCTCAAGTCCAATATCTTGGAATCTGTTTGATAGAAAGTCTTTTTTTTACTATGTCAGTGAGTATCAGTCAGAAGAATGATATTAAAAAAAACAATTGTTGAAATCGGTCCATAGGAATAAGAGATGTTATTTATTTGCGTATATCCAAACACAATGGTACAATGAAATTGCAAATTGCCATATACTTCTTGGGATATGAATACTTTGACCAGCACTAATTTTTATTTAATGATTTCAGGCGCTTCTTTTCGACATTGCTAGAGTTCTTTGATGTTTGTTAGTTTACGAGCACTACTCAAAGGTACGAGCATATCAAACACATCATTTAATTTTTTTATTGTTGATACTCAGATGTCAAGTTTCGATGGACTGTTATTGCTTGATATTCCTTGAATGATTCATTCTTCCAATTGTATTCTAATCTGAAAAAAGTCTCACGAGAAAATGTTCCCTAGTGTCAGTCCGCTTTTCCAATGAAACACGGTTTTCTAAGTTAGTTTCTGATGCTGACTATAAAATTATCTATTCGTTTGAGCCTATCTGGTTATTTTATACCACTCTGTAAAATGCTGATCTCTAAAAGTCCATCATGAACTTTTCGAAGTAACAATTTCTAAGAAAATCATTATGTAGAAATTACATATGTGTACAGATTATTAGAACTAACAGAACATTTTTCGTAGAGTTGTTAACCTATCAATGTGAAAAACATGTGCGAATGAAGGACTGCAACAAGCTTAAAAAGTAAACCAGTTGATACTGCAATTGTTACTTTTTAATAATTGGTGTACATATGTAAGTTCTACATACTGATTTTTTTAGAAATTGTTACTTCGAAAAGTTCGTGAGCGACTTTTAGAGATGATGACGATTAACCGCACCGAGTTTTGTATACTTTTAAAACTAGTAGAGAGAGGAATCATCGATGTGGATAACTAACTCTGATGCTGTGCTTCTGTAGTTTCTTAGAAGTGAGATTAATATCAGTCATATGACAACTTGGTCTTATTTCTACACCACTGATTAATATCTACTTTTACTTTGAAAAGTATTTTTAGAAAACTAACAAAATTTCCATACGTAATTTTTGTAATAGTGAATAAAAGCTCTGAAAAGCACATTTTTGTGCATATGAATAATGAATAAATGTTTACGAGTATTTTCTAGAATAAAATGACACTTTCACTAATTTAAAAACAGTTTTTCTGTTAATTTAAACACATTTGCTAGTTGTCTAATGGATGTTTTGTCCTCTATGGTTATGATCAGCAAATAAGTGGTTAATCTTCTTTCTAAACATATATCAATGGTAACTAATGCTTTAAGAAACTGCTTTTTGGACACAAATTAGCTTTTGATCACTTCTTTGTTTAAGCAACCAATCTGAATTAGATTTCAAAGGTGCTATGTTAAGTTGAAGATTATAATATATATTCATCATTAAGTCCGCATTCCTTCAATCAAGCGTAGCGTATCTTAAAGACATAAGAAGTATGAATAAACGAAGTGATGCTTGCAAAAAGTACGATATTCTTCTCGAAGGGTGTTTAATATGATGAAGAAAAGTTGTGCGTTTGAAATGAGAAAAGAGAGCTAGTAATGCGTTTTCTACAAAAAAATTAGATCTCCATGCAAATTAGAGATGAGATGTATTTTATTTGTACTTTTAATTTAAAATTGTCTATTAACTAATTAACTATGGTTATATTGAAACTCCATTCATTACAAATGTGAACTTCGTATATTGATAAAAAAAGTTTTGTTTATTGATGCGTCTGCTTTTTGAAGAAGATATAAATGGAGATGATGCACTTCAAGTGCTCGAAAATATGCTTTCGATGGGCCTTCGCCAAGAGCTCGAACCGTCAGAAAATGGCACTTCGGACCCTCGATATAAGCTTTCGAGGAGTATCGATGTCGAGCCCTGGGATTTCAGATAGGTAGCGAGCCCTCGAAAAAAATTTCGAGCCGTCCAATAGAGATATTCGAAACTTCCGACCCCTCGTCGCACCCTCGGGCGAGCGTGGGCATGGAAGTCCCGAACATCGCACGTTCGAACGACGAGGACTCAGAAATCCCAAACATCTCTATTCGACGGATTGAAATTTTTGTCAAGGGCTTGCTACCTATCTGAAATCCGAGGGCTCGGCATCGATACCCCTTGAAAGCTTATAACGAGGATCCGAAGTGCCATTTTCCGAGGGTCCGAGTTCAACCATCTATTGATTGTGTGTTGTTGGTTTTTATAAATGAATAATACATCAAACATTGGCTCTTCTATCATCCCTACAAAAATTATAATTATCAACTTTATTATAACATCTGACTTTCTAAGTACAGTACTGTACGGAGAAACGTTTGTCAGTATAAGCAATTTCTCTATGATAAACTATTATTGAGTTGTTTGAAAGTAGTCGCATTAGTCTCAAAGACTGAACTCAGAAAATGGATATAAATAAGAATGACATGTTCTACGCGTATAAGAAAGAAAAGAGCTATTTGATCTTCGGTTAATCAAAGAATCCGTTTGAAGAACTATTTGAATAGAAGCTTAGCAAGCACTATAACGATTATTAAGTTACTATTATATAGTTATATTAAATGGTGCTATAACAATTCATCTCAAGTCTTTTTTTTGACTCCGTTTAGTCATCTGTATTTCATATTTTGTCGTGTCGTTCTGTATTTTATGTTTTGTCTAATTTAGTTTCTTAAGTTTTCAAGCGATGCACGAAAGAAACCTCTGTTTAATCATCATTTGTGGATATATCCATGATCGTATAGTTGCTGTTCGAATAATTCTGTTGAAGTATAGCATGCGACGTTTGCCAATCAAGTTATAATTTTATAAGCTGATATCGAAAAAAGTAAACAAGAACATGAACCTACTACGCAGAAAACGGTATATCGAAAATTAGATGAACGAATAAAACGTTTAGTAATGAATTATGGTTTTAATTCAACTAGTGATTATTTATCTGGGATGCGGATAATTTAAATTTGCATGTTTGTATGTATAAAGCATAGAGTTTATGAATTAAAAATTAACTAATAGAGGAAAAACGGAGGAAGACGATCGATTGTTTCCTCTAAATTTTCTCGAATATCTTTTATGGATGAACCTTTTACACTGTGAGACGAATGATCTGATTCTATCGATGAGACGAATCTTCTGTGACAATAACTGCAGGAACAAATTGGGCAAAACATAAAATACAGAGACAAATCTACGTACAGATGAATAGACTGAGACAAATTGTCGGAGACAAAAAAAAAGAGATGAATTGACGGATCACCATATTAAATAATGATTGTAATGCAAAAGACGTTGATGTCTATGAAGCTAAAGTATGAATGTTCTGTTTATTTTTTAATCCTGTTAAAATATAAACAGTAAGCAAAAAGAACAAATTCTTTATTTCAGATGGAGACCACATATTATTTCTTTAAGGAACAAGAGACGTTTTCCGTTTGAAATCGAGTCTGCTTTTTAAATCTAAATAATAAGTACGTTAGAAAAATGGTCCCAACTAACAGATGTCATGGGTGATGTCTGCAATCGAATAGATTAGAAGTATCTATTTTATCTGATAATAAAGTCTGCTAATAATCTGGATCGCGCAAATGAAATTGCAAATATCAGAAAAAGGCAAAAGTCCTTCTCTAACCTGGTCTCTCAAGAGACAGTACGTTTATCAGCTTCAGACAGAAGGGATAGAGAAATCGGACAGTATAGTAGATGGAACCTCTGATTAATATTTACAATTGCTACAGAGTAAGAAAAGGCATTCGGAGTTTAATATGATTCCATACACGCATGTGTGTGATTGTTTTCTCTTTCTTTCGAACAACAACACTAAGCTATAAATAATAATTATGTACATATTTTTGTTTCTTCCTAGTTGTTTGATAAATAATCATTTTTCCAATGTCTATGTTAACTGCAATCAATTCATTTTATTTCGTGACCAGTCAGTATTGTGTCTTCTAAAAGAAATACTTTTCATGGAATGCGATGATCCGTTTACGTTCAGTTACTTTCGTAGACAGAGCGATTATTTTTTCAATCCAAAACACTTTTATTTTGCAGAGATACTCCAAGTCTATTTTTGATTTAGATAGAATTATCCATGTTGATTAAACCATTATTCTGACTATAGTAATATTATTTCATATGTTGTTTGTCTTAAATCACCCATAACCATGGAGATAGTTTTTGTACAGCTGAGATTTACTTACGTTGTAGTTACTTAAAACTGTCGTATGAAAGTAGAAAGAATTCATGGACTTGGAAATGAAAAAAGCGTTTCTCATAAAATACGAATATTCATAGAAATATTGTATACAGATAAAATATAGTTTGACGTCAACAATTAAAAAAGTGGTCATTTTTACGAGAAAAAAGAAGTATTTTTACCAACTCTCATACTAATATTGATGAATTTTACAAATGTAAGGGAATAGAAAGGCAACTGGAGTGCATATCTTCTCAAGAATATAAAAAAGATCTGGAGTTCCAAAGGCTCCTCCTTTTTAACATCGTCGTTATCGTCGTAAAAATATAATTAGAGATAAGTCAGCTGCTATATGTTACCGATGTTAATGTTACGCACATTATCCTATTATTTCTCAAATAGTGTGAGAATGACGCTTACTAAGCGAGAATATTTGATGAAAAACCATTAGTTTAACGATATTTAGCAATGTTTCCATAAACACTGGTATTTCAACAGCAATTTTCAATGGATAATAACAAGTGGTTTTTAGTGGTTTTTGTAACGTCTATTTAGTCATACAATTCTTAATATCACTATTAGATGTAATTTAAATGAATAATCTATTTTACATCAGCTTTGAATAACTCAGACATAATCTGTCTTTTGAAGAATTTATTGTCGATGTTTGGACTTTTGAAAAGGCATTATAAAGACGAAATACAAAGTTATGAAGTAAAACTACAAAAAACGTGAAAATACATATTTTTGCATTTGCATACTCATTGCATATACATACGCAAACGATATGCACCACTAGTATACAATGTAAAGCGATGAAAATCGCAAATTCCCCGCCATCGGGTCCATTATCTTGCCCTTAATTTCATCTTAAACTTTGGCCTTGTAACGTTCAGTCCTTCTGGAAATACAATCGACAGAGCTAACGTTATTGTTCTGTTTATCCCTGGCTGTTTGTCCATAGTTTCCAGAGATTCACGAATTGTAAGTCGATATCTGAACGAGTCTTTTGAAAGTTTTGTCCAGTTTGCCAGACTACATTATGTCCTGTTTCAAATTCATGTTTGTACAGGACTGATTTCATAAATCTCTTATCAGGTGAAGGCAAAGGATCATCATCGAATTCATCATCCTCTGCAGTATAGACTTGTTTGGGTTTATCTTTGTTTCCGTCAGATCGTCGTACATCTGGTTCTGGTGCTGTTCCAGATTCTGTTGTAGAACCCGAATGGCTAAATTATAAGCTGCAGTGCATCATGCTCTGTCGCCTTGCAGTTTGACGAATTGTTTCACCAATGTTATTCAAAGCTGCTGTAAAACAGATTATTCATTTAATCAAATTAGTCGTAATGTTGATATTTATCAACAGCTTCTATTTTATAGAGTGTCTGACTCTACAAATAGAATCTGCTAATAGAATCTGCTACAAACTTTACATTGAAATATTTAATAATTTCTCTTCATAGCTTACGTGACATCTGAACTGTGTCCTTTTGAGATTTTATGTCAGTTTTTATCAAGTGAGTTTTTCTGCACGTTTTTCTTGTATACACAGATTTCTGAAACTCAACCAAAAACTGACTTGTCAAAAAACTACTCTGTTCAAAACTAAATATGTGATCAATTCTTTTCTGAACTACATAGATACAATAAGATGTGGCGCAACCCATTATGATTTTGCAGTAGAAAGTTATATGCATTTTCTCGCTTGCAGTATAGGAATTAGTTTTGAAATAAGTTAAAAAGTTTAGGAGTCAGAGATTGATTTTATTGCAGTTTACAGCTCAAAAATTAGGTAATTGTCGGTACCAACCATTGGATCCGTATCGAAAGTACCGTAGCTTTCGGTACCAACTCGGTTTTTTTTCATTATTTAAATCTATTTTCGAACTCACAAGAAGCTTTTCCTCCTTAAATCGCGAAGACCCCGTCCCTTAATTTTTTTCTTAAGTATCGAATTTTTAGGTACTTTCCCTGGTACCGAATCAAAAGTAGCGAACGATTCGACACCTAACAAGGTACCGAACCGAAATTTCCGGTACTGCACGAAAACAGTAGTGGTACCGAAGTACCGACAATTCTCTACTGAAAATCGACATAAGGCATTAGCAAAACAAACTTGTATATCTCGATGACTCAAAATCAAGGATCTAAGGAAAAAACCCTCCATTTTTTGGCGCATTTAGCTCAAGATCTTGGCAAAAAAGCAAGAAACGTTTCGCTATTTTATTTGTTTACAAATATTTGCATATACACCATGACAGATAGTTTCTTAGAAGTGATATTAATACCAGTCATATGACAACTTGATCTTATTTCTACACCACTGATTAATATCTACTTATACTTTGAAAATTACTTTTAGAAAACTAACAAAACTTCTTTATGTAATTTTTGTAATAGTGAATAAAAGCTCTGAAATGTACATTTTTGTGCATATGAATAATGAATAAATGTTTACGAGTATTTTCTAGAATAAAATGACACTTTCACTAATTTAAAAACAGTTTTTCTGTTAATTTAAACACATTTGCCAGTTCAAATTAAAATTATATTACTAGGTGTTCGAGCGTGTTTTTGGTTTGTTGTTGAAGAAAAGCAGTCATTGTCGCGTGCTATATTGTACGACTCGTGCTCAGTAGCAGGAACTCAGGATGAATTAATTAGCTGGTGAGGGTATTTACCATCTTTTTTTTAGAATACCATCCATAGAAATCTGACACATTCCCGACTCCGTTTTCTGACTTAACAGTCGTTATTTTGTGAGAGTAACTATGAGATTAATTATAGCAACATTGTCAACTATGTGCTGAAATTCATTTTATTTCAAGCAGAAACGCCACAACCATGAAAGAGGCATGTCACTTATGTTTAATGTTTGCTGTAAAATTGAAAGTAATTCGAAATTGGACGTTACTCTTATTTTGGTAAGTTTTGAACAGATACAAAAATATTTTTTCATTTTATTGACTCCTTTTATAACATACAGCATCACCAGTAGCGAACTTTGTTTTATCTTGCATTGAAATTTAATTTATAATTAATTAGTGTTTCATTTGTTTTTTATGTCCAAGAGAAGATAAAAGAATGAAAGAGAAAATAAATGATAGCATAGAAAATAAAGATCGGTATGCCTGAAAATATTATTAAAAGAAAAAAAGGTTACTTTACTCTCTGTCTCTCTTCTCTTTGTGTAATTAGTTAGAAATCATAAATGAAATACAATGAAACAAAAAAGAAAATGAGAAAATGTTTTTCTAGAATTTCCTTTTAGAAAATATCTATATAAATACAAGCGAGATTTAAGCATTTTTAGATCGAACTTTTCTTAGTGAAGTGACGATATATTTCTTTATCAAACGCATCGAGGAAACATGAAAGCAACATTATGTACAGTACTTGTGAGTAGAAAATAAGTGTGAAATTATCGTATTAGCGCATAGAATATTAAAGTAAATAATCTTTTATTTACTTTTGTTTTTTTAGTTATGTGTAACAATCGCGTGCTATGTAACTACTAAATCGGCACGAGTTAAAAATAATGGAAGACATGGCGTCCATAAAGCGTTGAACATTTTATCTGGTCCGAGTGCATGGGGAGGAAATAAAGATAATAAATGGGAAAAATTGTTGAAAATTTTGAAAACTTGTATTAAAAGTGATACAACCGTAATCAGTACGTTATATGAACAAATTCAACAATATTTTAATGATCTTGAAGGAAATAAGACGCAAGATAACCCTGCCAGCTCATGGTCAAACACACTTAATTATTTACAAAAACCGGCTACCAAAGAAATGTTTACCAATAATGTAGTAGCATATTTTCAAGGTTTAAAACAAGTTATACAAAAAGATTTGCAATCAAATATGCAACAACAAAGTTCTTCAGCTGGGGATCAAAAAGTTCATGCGCGTTTGATCAAACAAATTCAAAAGCAACTGAAACAAATTCTCAAACAAAATTGTGGTGCTTATTTCACTAATGATGACAATTCGGAGGAAGATGGTCTTCAAACATTATCAACTCAAAGCGGATATAGTAGACCAATCGAGACAACACAAGCCTCTACAGTTAACAAATAAGATAATATTATTATTTTATTTCTGAGTTATGCAATAACTAATCAATGTTTTTTTATTGTAATACTCTAAAGTATTTTTAAGAGTTCTGAGAATATTTGTTATCATTGGTCCTAATCTTGAATTTATATTATGCTTCTTGTAACTGCACTATTTTAAATAAATGTGAATATTAAGTAAAACGGATCTTTGCGTATATCCGTCAACCTACGTACTACGTACTGTCTCAACAATCCATAAAAAAAAAACGATAAAAAAGTGGGATCAGAAAATCCAAGAACATTTCCAACTTTCGTCTCGCTCACACCGGATCTCAGAAACAACTAAAAACTCGACAATTTTTTGAAGATCCACATGTGCTACTATAAGATTCTCTACAATAGATTACTTATAGTTCGTCAGTGTCAGTCGCGTATACCATTCTCACCAACAGTTATTCGATTTTTAATTCTTCCATGATGGCAGATCAACAGATAAATAGCATTTTTTATTATATCTTGACTAACATCAAGGGATACCTATAGGAATGACTGGAAAGAAAAATGACAAAAAATTAAAAAATAGGATGAAATCGATTGAATACTTTGCAATAGTTATTATTTAACATCTAGTTCGGACAAGTTGGTTGTACGATACACAATCGTAATGAAATGATCAATTTTGATGATCAACTTTTAGTTGGGATTATTAGAGAAATGGTATTGAGATTAATTTTACGACTGAATTTAATTTTAAAATGCTATTTGATAGAAAAATGTCGCTTAAATCTCTCTTCGTGTTTGACGTCAATAGATTTAAGCAACTTTACATTCCACGTGAATGAAACGAGAAGTAATGAATGAATAGAAAAACAGTTTTTTTTTTATTAAACTTCTTTTGATTATTTGGTGTTGAAAAATTATTACATATCTGTTGAGTTGAGGTAATTTAAATAATCGAGAATAAAATTTATTAACTATATTAATACTATTTGCAAATAAAATCGTTATAAATGACATAATTGTTGTTTAGAACTTTGTAATCACCTCTTTTGGCTCCTCAACTACCAATGATGTCAAAAATGTTTCTTTATGTGCTAAATATTGTTGAAAACGCATTTTTCCATAGGCTGAATAATCAAAAGTTGTCGATGATTGATTCAATAGACCTTCTACGAATGCCCATAATGCCCAATAAAGATGGCATGGTGCAATTAGTTTACCAATTAAATCACATAAACATTCTAATTCAATATCAGTTGGTTTTAATTTATTTATTCCACCACTCTTTAACCGTATATATTCTGGTAAAAATTCGGCATACTGTAAATAAGTTTTTAGCCAACGTTTTTGAAATGTTCGATTGGGATAGAGTGACCAATCAGGATTAGATAAACCGGCGAACTCGATAAAATGATTTGTAATATCGCAGAGCCAATAATTGAACATACAATGTTCAAAATCAATTATATTTATTTGTTGTAATTTTTCATCGTATAAAAAATTTTGGCATTGAGTACCATGATGACAATTGACCATTTGAATATATGACCATTTATTTTTTAATATAATATCGATTTGTTTTATCTCGTTGTCGATATTAGTCAGTTTATAATTCATTACATCTTCAATTTTATCCAATGTCAACGGTGGCGAATAACCAAAAAACTGTTTAACAGCTGAGAAAAAACTCGATGGTGTTGTAGGCGTATTCAATAGACCTTCCGTCGAGGCTACTGGCAAACGTTTGTGAATTTCTGGATTTGTACCATTCAATAAATTAAAGTAATGACGTAATCTTTCTGATAACTGAGAAAATTTTATATGATTATCCTGTAAAAATTCTAATTTTGATGTGACGGAATGAAATTCGGCTAAACGACGAGCTATTAACAGTGAAATACGTTCGTCACGAACCAATTTACAATCGATCGGTTTCCCAGGAACATACCCATAGAAAAAACCATTTTTAAACTTTAATAAAATCTGGTTAGCAAATTGATGTTGGGCTAATTCGACCATCACTCTTATCTCCTTTTCTCGGTCGATAATTAAATCCGAATTATTTCCATAGACTTTACAAACGAGACCGTGTTTAATGTCTTTGTCAGAGTTATCTGTTGATGTGGGAAACATGCCGAGCAGGGAGTTTGAGACGTCATCTGTTAACTTTTTATAAGTCAGTTTCTTTGTAGCCCAATGAGGTTTAATGACACAGATGAGACGAAAGGCTTCCTCTTCAATTTTATTGATATTCAATTCTGTATCTTGATAGGGAAGAGGGGGTGTAGACATTGTTTTGATTAAAAGTTAGATATGCTAATCTAGAGAGGTACATAATTGAAATTATAACCATTGTAAAGAACAAGTTTGCTCTTAAAAATGAAACATAAAAGCAGAAGTATCAATCACAATGGACGGCAGCCTGTTTTTCTTTCACAGTTGTCTTTCGACTACTACTTTCTCGTTTTTTAAATAACGCACATCAGGTCTCGAAACAGACCGACACTTTTGAGGCTTGGTCTACCTGCGTCAGATCTGTAATGTTTAGATGTGCCTGGGCCTATCGATATATTTCCTGGGCCTAGCTGTCTGCCTGCCAGTGTTCTCGGCCTACCCTGGCCTGGTCTGTAGAAGTCTGGTCATTTTTTTAATAAAAAAAATGTACAGATAATAGTAACATAAGATGAAAAGAAACGTGACAGATAATTAAACAATATATCTGAGTAAAAAATTTGGTTTTTGTTCAAGTATTTTCTGAACTGACCTAACTAACAAGATATCCTCAACCGTGTCAGGATTTAGTGATGCACGGCGTTCATTAATAACTAGGTTAGGCCGCCTGGTGTTTTCAAAGATCGGCCTGAATCTATTTCAGTTTAGACCTGGTCTGCCCTAGCCTGGTGCAGGCCGAAAATTTGTAGCCTGGCTTGTCTGTTGCAGGCAGGCCCAGGCAGATAGGGAGGCTGCCTGGCCTGGTTCGAGCCCTGGGACACACTACAAAAACGATACAGACCTGCGGTTTCCACCAAAGTATAGTAAAAACTTGAGTCTTTACTGGAAAGTCAATCTCTTACCTTAGTGTCTACCGTAATGCACTCTACCGGACATATTCGAAAAAAATAAACTTTCTTTTACAATTGCCTTTTTACTTGCAGAAAAGGTCAAGCCTTAGAAACTTGGACTGGTACTTGCTACGCGCACAGATTCGATTTTTGGAGGTCATCCTTTTACTAATTGTCGTCCTGACGCTTCACTAGAGAAAAATAGCTAAATTACCTTCGCAGGGCAGCACCATACTTGAGCTAAAATGTGAAACTTCTCAAAATGTAGTTAGGTTATTGTAGATGGTTAGAACTTATGCAGAATATAGAATTATAGAAGCAGTATCTCATCTACAACACTGAGCAAGTGTTTCGAAATATAAAAAAAAATATAAAAATACTCGGACATTTTTCTGTTCTGGAGACCTCATTGAACTTTTCTTCTAAAGATATGTTTGGATAGAGCTGTCCAGCTGTCATCTGCTCTACACAAATACTGAAAAGTTTGATTTAGCTGTGTCCTTGCGTTCGGATGTGGAAAAGCAAGTGAACGTCAGTTTGGAGAAATAAGCTTTATTTTAATTATAAGCGTCCAAAAATGAAACATTCCAGCTCAAAGTGGAATAGTCTAATTGAAATTTTTAGAACATGATCAAACGGGTACATTGCATACTTAGGACACTGAGAATTCTGTAAATTAATCTTTTTTCTTACAACTATAGCAATTATGTTCCAGGAAATTGATTTTTTAAAAATATGCTCTATTACTATTGTCCAAATAACGACCAAGCATTTTTTTAAAATCAATGTCTCATATGCAGTACCCCCCCTCCCCCCCCCCACACACATGTATTGTTATTATTAAAGGGCAGAAGTTCAGAAGTTATGGGTAAAGCTAAAGATTCAAATAATTTCCTGGGATTGTAAAGACACACAGCTGTAAAAAGGATTTTCTTTTGGTCACCGATCTTGCTCCTAAAATGTTTATTTTTATATAACGATTGCGCTCCAGCATGCGGATGCAATTCAATGAGAAAAGAAGAAAAGAAGGTAGCTAGTGCGTAATAAATGTATCTCTGGTAGGAATATCTGTGAACTGTTTCTTTTGCCAAGATGAAGGAGAGTTTTTCTCAATTTAAAGACAAAAAGCTAAGAAAATAGCTACAGAACTTTCTCGATGGTATCGCTGTTTTTAAGGCCGGTCTTGGCAGTCCTTGAAAATATTCAGCGTGAACACACAAAAGGAAAGAATTTTTCACATATCCGAAGGGAAAGTGTAGAATTCCGAATCAAATCTTCCTACTGAGCGAGGTTATTATTCGCCACATGGCAAGTAGAAAACGAGTGAACTTACTGTTTAAAGAAAAATGTGCGTTGCAACTACAGTGATAAGAAAAACAGCGATAAATGTATCTTGCCGTAGAAATAACTTAGTTTTGCATACAACGTAGAGAAAAAAGAATATTTTCTCTTCTTTTCTTCTTTTGGTCACTGGTCATGGCTCAGTAACTACATCAGCAGTTATAGCAAGGTGGTAGTTCCTTTCCTAATATTTATACGTTATGATATTTATGATTTTTCCTCTGTGATTCTACATTTCTCTCCACCACTATCTCATTCGAAAGAACATTGAATTCTGAGTAAGAATATCTATTTTTTAATTTTGTAGCCCAATGAGAACACCTCTGGGGTGCGGTCACGGGCTTTTAGAAATCGATTTTGATAGTCTGCTAAACGGCACAATTGTTCAGAACCATGAGCTCTATCATATATGTAAAAACCGGATAGAAAAAGTGTATTTTCATCGTTTCCTAAGAGAATATGAAACGGTTGTTTTTGAACGGTCTTTCGTTCATTAAAATTAAAAGAAAAATTAAATTAGAACCTTAATTGACAATCACGAACAAGTTCAGCTTTTCATAAACCTCATACAATTCTCTTCATGTTGCATCAAACGTTTTTTAAAAACAGCCCACCTAAGGTCAACTATTTCCCAGTGAAAAGACCAGAGTCGGGATTATATCTCAATACAGTTTGTAGTGTATCAGTATAGAATTTCTTTTATTACAATTTCTGCGCTTTTTGCTGAAAAAAAAATGCTCGACACATAAATTCAGATGAAACACTGTCATTTCCTTAGACTATCAGCATTTTATTTCTCTCATACCACTAGAACTTCGTACAAAATTCGCTCAACAATAGTAGTCAGGATTAGAGACCTGCAACCAGACCCGAACCCGATCCGACCCTAGGGTTGGATCGGGTTCGGGTTGAACATTTTTTATCAATGGCAATACATCCCTCACTGCTTTTTATACTGCTTTTTCAATATTCTGTTTTAAACACCCATATCCATGCTATAATGCTCTCTACTTGCTATCCTATTATTAGGTGATATAGGCTGACCAATGAGAAAAAGGATGTAGTCATCATCTAAGTTAAGATAATCTATTGAAAAAGTGTACTGAGGAATTTTTCAATAGATTAACCTTTTAGACAAAATGATGGATTGACCAATCAGAAGTCGTTCAAAAATTTTCCTGTTTTTGATCAACACTTAGCTTCATCAAAAAAGCCTAAGAAACTAAGAAAAACGTACGTTTTCTTTTCTCTTTTTCGTCTTAGTCACGCAGTGTAGTGAAAAAGCCATGAAGACACAAGTACGATGCAATAGTGTTTTTTCAGTAGTAGATTCGCCTAGCCATACAGTAGAGACCTGCAACCCAACCCGACCCTAGGGTCGGCTCGGATCCGGGTGCCGATGCTGTCGGGTTGGGTCGGACTCGAGCCAGCATTCTCATAGTCGGATCGGGTTAGGGTTAGGTTTTCTTAACCCGTGCAGGTCTCTAGTCAGGATTCATCATTTTTTTCCATAACGTAGTCGAGTAGTGGCAAGTCTCCGTTGAAATATCGACCAGCAAAAAGCGCAGAAATTGTAATAAAAGAAATTCTATTCGTAAAATATATTCGATTTCTAAAAGACAGCAGAAGTTGTTTTCTGTCTATTCCGTACGATTTGCACGGATTGTCCCGAATTACCCCATGCAAAATAGCTGAGTGTCTACAAGGCAGATAGAACTCGAAATTCTCTACCAGATGGTGTAGTTTTTAATTAGAAAGGTAAAACTTTGCTGTTGAAAAAAGTTGTTTTACTTTGTTCCAGCCATTTTTGCTGGACTGTCTCGAATTATCCCAGCGAGACACACTGACTGTCCCGAATTACTCCAAATGGGGTAATTCGGGACATTTGATAGGAGCTCTCTGGAAATTGATGAGTACTAATTAATCTTATTGAACTTTAAGAAGATTTTTACATTAGTAGATAGAGAAATGTTCGGTATTCCTTCTGGAAAAATGATCATCGGAACAGAGTGAGTTGTTTAAGTTTGGCTCTGACGTTTTGATCAGCAAGTAATATGAATTTTTATCACTATTTTTAACACCAAAATTTTCCCAATCGATTTTATGTCCGGTCTCAATCGCATGTTTCGCTAAAGACGATTTTATCTTAACGTCATCATCATTCTCTATAGTACTTGCATTGTTAATCAGTAAAGATTGTGTACCACCCATGTGAGACGACATCTATGACAGTTTTAACTATTTTTCTCGCAACCGAGGTGATCGAGGTGAAACTAAGTACGGTTTAATAGTTTTTACTTTCTTTTTTTTCTTTCTTAATGGGCTTTTTATGGATTCTTTTATGACAACCGCAGTTACTAAACCTTGAAGTTATATAATTTCGATTAGTTTAGTCGACTGGCACGTGTGTGCCAATCAAAATCAGGTCATTTATGACAGTTTCAACAGTTTAGTCGAAAACTAACGATTTTGGAAGCCATTTTAAGCCGCTGCCTGAATATTTCTGTCATAATTAATCATAGTTACCACAAAGTTAACTAACTGATGGTTACCGTTAAAACAACGGTAACTGTCTTTTCAGTTACCGTTGTTTTAGCTGTGTTTTCAGTTAGCGTTAAATCAACGCAACGTCAACTTTTACAGTCCTAGTTCTAAACTTAAAAACACTCGTCCTCTCTACTAGCCGAACGGATATGCTTAGAAATGAATATATTTGATAGTCCACATCGAGATGTACGAGAACCATTATTCAAATGGTTCTAACATAAAACTTCCGTACACAAAATATTTTTGAATTAACTATGATAATTCAAAGTAATTCAGATGGTTCTTGAGGCACAGTAACTCCTACTACTGATAAAGAAAACAGTTGTCTTCAAAGTGAGATGT